CCCCCCCCCCCACTTCCTGCCCCCAAATCCTTGACCTCACAGTAATATCGACCTACCCTATTGGCCACTGGGACTGTGTCTTAGAGCGGGTAGTGCACATGCCAACAGCCCTGTTTTCCAGGCCTCTTGTTCTGGGAAAGATGCTCAGCTCCCCTTAAATCCTAGAGCATTAATTCCTGGAAAACGAGCCCTTGCATATGTGTTCCCTTATTAAGACAGGGTAGAAAGCAGCTTCCTGCTGTGGATCCATGGAAGCCTGGGTTGCTGGTGCCCTCTGGTGGCCGCACTGCAGTATTGCAAAAGGGAAAGTGAAGTTCTTTGGAAGGCGTTCAATGTGACCTGACCAGGGCCAGAAACATCACCTGGCTGTAGGCAGGAAGGTTGAGGGTCGATGTGAGTTTTAGGAGATGGAGATTCGGACCCATGCTTCCAGCAGCCTGTTCTCCCTCTCTGTTCCCGGCACAGGTAGAGTTGAGTGGTGTTTTTAGAACACCTTCCAGGAAGAATACATGGGCAGGAAAAAAATCACTTTCCTGTTTGGTGTAGACCAGGGGTGGGGATTGTTCGGCCTGTGGGCCTTGGCCCGTGAAATCATTTGGTTGGGAACGATGGACGGCAGGTAAGGGTCATACAGAATCTGGACACAGACCACCCAGGTGTGAATACGTGCTCAGATACCAGGTAGCAATGACTGGGAGGACTCACCTGGTGTGTGCGTGCTTGTGGGGACTTGTGAGGATGTGTGTGGGGTGTGGGGTCACATGGTAATCTATATATATAAAAGCCTAAGTGACCCTAATGACCAAACGACTGGTCACTATGATGCTCACTCACCACCAGGGGGCAGACGCTCAACGCAGGAGCTGCCTCCTGGTGGTCAGTGCACTCCCACAGCCAACCTCCTGCAGCCCTGATCGCTGGCCAGACCAAGGGACCCCACTCGTGCACGAATTCGTGCACCAGGCCTCTAGTATACAATGAGTTTGTTTATAATTTTTTGTTGCTAAAATCTTTTCGAGTCTTACATCCTATTCTAAAGAGTTTTTCTCTTTGTTTTTGTACCTAGAAAGGCATTGTGTGTCTCGAGAGAGAGGCACATTAACCTAGTATTTATTCTCTTTTCTCCGCAGTTTGACAGTTTTCGTTTATCACTTTGATCTGCTTGAGTTTATTTTGATTTCTGGCCCAGCGTGGGGACTTAGTTTTACTTTTTTTGCCAAATGGCTATTTAATTAACTAGGACTAAACTTTCCTTTCCCCAGTGATTCGATTGCCACTTTTTAATTGCACATTAAAATGCAATACTTACTAGGGTCTGCCTGGGTTTCTCTTTGATTCCCACGGGTGTACTGTTTTTGTTCAGGTGCCAGCACCACACCACAGTTTAATTGTATAGAAAGGTTAGTTTGCAAAAAATCTGGGGGTTGCTTCACCTGGGAGTACCTTCTCTGAACACCAGGTGGCGTGAGACCACTGGGTGCTGTAAGGGAGCAACCCAGCCACATCTGGCCAGCGTCTCTGAAAGATGGTCATTCCAGAGCAAACCTGAAACTTTCAAAGAAGCAGACCCTCCCCCCGAAGCGCAGGTGGGGGTTGACTCTCCTCCACTCGTGGAGTTTGGTAGCCTGCTCAGGCGCACAGCAAGCGAGGGGAGCTGGCATTTGAAACCTGTTTCTCCTTATTCCCTTCCCACGTTGGTACCGATCACCGCCCATCGGCCATGTCTGTCCTCACAACCTTCAGTGTGTCCCCAAACCAAGGTCTTTCCTCGGAGATGTTTGTGGTTGGGTTTGCTTTGGGACTGCGCATCCTGGTGGGTTGATGAGAAGGTCTTGAAGCTCTCTTGCTGTCTAGACCAGCAGTCGCCAACCGGTGGTCCCGCGGTCAGTAACAAAATCTCTGTTCCTGAAGGGAAGGCAAAGTAGGTTCGATTCTAGCCGATTTCCACGCCAGGTGGCACCCACTAACATGACACGAAGGGGACATGGCCGGCCTGGGCTCTCCCTGGGCCGTGTTCTGCACATGGTGGCCGCTGCTTCTAGGAGCTCCTCTGCGCTCCCAGCGATAGAAAAGGATCTCTCCGTTCCAGTCTGCAGGCCGCGCTCTCCGTTTTGCCATCCTGGTTGAAATAATTCCGGAACTTTCTTCCGGAGCATGACTGACTCCCCTCCCCCCATCTGATGGACCCACCATGTGTAGAACCCCATGTGTAGAACCCCAAAGGCACCTTGTGTAGAACCCACCATGTGTAGAACCCCAAAGGCACCTTGAACAAGCCCTGCCCACAGGTGGGCCCTGTAATGTAATAATTTCCGAGCAATTGACCAAAACCCAATTTCTGAAAGAAGCTCTGGAAAA